TCATCTAAATATTTACCAAGGAATTTGGAATACCTTATTGCTGAAACACATAACTGGTTTTCCAAATCAATTATCAGACAACAGCAATACAATACATTATACACAGCCTTAAATAATGGTTCCACACCACTGAAAATTCTGTCAGATTGCAAAACTAGATGGTTATCAATTCAACCAGCTGTTGAAAGAACTGAGAACCAATGGTTGGAGTTGAAGACACACTTTGAAATAACAAGACAAAGTGAAAAGTTCTACACAGCTGCAATACTATATGGAATGTAAACTGATTTTAAAAAATGTGGCATTCCTTATCTTTTTACAACCTTTTCTGATGGAAGTGCAAAAAGTTAATAAACTGTTTGAATCTAAACATGTTGATAAAGTTAAATTACTTGACGATCTCAATTTGCTATTATATTTCAGTCAGTTTTTAAAAGACTGGTGTTTCCAACTTGTAAAGCTGATTTGCTCACTTGCACTATAGACAGCTATTTGGCTCCTAAGCCATACCTTGGATATCAAATCGAATCAAAAACTGATGATTCAAAAATAAAAGGACTGTTATCTGAAAATTAAAAGAACAAGTTAAGAAAGCGCTATCAAGATTTCATTATCTCATTATTCAAGCAATTGAAGCACAAACTTCATGAAAATCTTGATGTATTGAAAAATATTTCACTCTTTTCAGTGAGCAACGCACTTCAGCCAGTGAATGAATACTTAAATATTGTAAAGTTATGAAATTTTTAGGGGCTACTAATAATAGTGTCGCGAAAGCAGAATATCAGTTAACCAAAATAAACTTAGTTGAATGGACAAACAAAACAGAAACTGAAGCGTTTTGGAGTGAAGAGACAATTTAAAGATGCCTCATCAAACAGTCCATTCTGTAAGCTTTTTGAATGTGCCCTGTCTGCCATGATACTTAGTTAGTTAGTTATTCCTCTTGTGCCAAAGATGGCGCATAGGGCAGAGGTCATAGCTTTCCATGTCTGTCGGTTCGTTGCCACTTGATGTAGGTCTTGAGTGCGACTGAGACCTATGGTTGAGCTCTCCCTTGTGATGGTTCTACGGAGAGTTTCTTTTGGTCTTCCCTGTTTTCTTTTACCCTCTGGTGACCATATGAAGGCTTGGTGGGGAAGTCTCTGTATGTCCATTCTGAGTACGTGACCGATGTAATTCCAGCGACGCATTCTAATAAAATCAGACACATATTTTTGTTTTGTTTCCTGTCTTATAGATGTATTGGACCTAAAGTCCGACCAGTGAACATTCAATAGCTTTCAGAGGCATCTATTCTCGAAAGCGACTAGTTTCTTATCGATTGTTACTGATGATTTCCAACTCTCACAACCATAAGTTAGCACTGGGATCACACAGGAATTGAAGACCTTAAGTTTCGTGTTGTTGCTGAGTGATCTTGAATTCCAAATGTTTGACAGTTTGTTAAAGGCACTTGATGCTAACGCGATTCGAGTCGTTATTTCTGATGTTGTATCTCCCGCAGAGGTTATCTTGCTCCCTAAGTATGTGAAGCTGGTGATTTTTTCAAGAACAATATCCTTTAGTTTGATGTCTTTCGACTCGTTGGTAAGATCGATGATTTTCGTTTTGGCTGCGTTGACCTGAAGGCCGATTTGGCTTGAAATATTCTGGAGGCGGTCCATTTTTTCCTGAGCTTCTAGATGTGTTGTGCTCAGGAGTGCTAGGTCGTCAGCAAAGTCATGATCTTCGAGAACTTTGTCGCCCCATTTGATGCCTAGATGTGTGTCCTGTGTGCATTTGCGCATGACCCAATCGAGTGCTATTCCGAAAAGCATCGGTGACAAGACACATCCTTGCCATGATACTACCCCACTCGAATGCTGACGTAGAAAAAGTTTTTAGCGCTATGAATTATATCAAATCTAACCTAAGAAACAGGATGAAATTTGACCTCTAAAATGTTATATTGACAATGAAATTCGGTCTGATGAGAGTATGAAAATGCTGTTCCATTTATCAGCTCCCTGATTGTGTATTAAAAAAAAATTGCACAGTTGAAGCATACCAGAGTCATTTTGGATCTGAAGCTTCAACTTCATCATCCAAGCAAAGTTTATCCTGTGGATCTTGTGAGGCAGACATCAGTAAAGATGAGGGCATGATTCTATAGTGCAAGTCAAAACAATAGCTACGTAATTTGTGACTCTTTCTATCTGGATGTTTGTTCTAGATGTTTTCACGCAAATTCAGATATTTGTAGATGTTTTTGACTCCGTTCTTGATGTTTCTGTCAAAAAAAAAAAAAGTGGCAACACTGCTTGAGTAAAAATTTAAAATCTGTTTAAAAAAAATTATATATTTATATATATATATATATATATATATATATATAAAAGTGGGTAAATGTTTCGTTTCGTAACTACAAAATGTGTACTTTTTAACAATCTGTGTGTTCTTTTTTTTGTCCTTTGCATATGAATCGCTATGGTTTTTGTTCAGCCTAGCTGGGCTAAAAAAAAAAAAAATCCAATTGGCAGCCCTGCACAGCAGTGTTGCCACTTTGGATCTTTTATATCCAAATTTAGATCTTTTTCATTGCATTTAGATACTGTTTTTGACGTTTAGATAGTAAATATTTTTCTAGAAACTTTTAATATGGAGTTAGATATTTTATATATTTTTTCTTTTCTTTCATGTCAATTTAATAATTACTGTGTAAAATATTTACTACAATATTTTTGTTTTTGTCTGGCACGCACATTGTGACAACTGCCATTACTTGAACTTTGAACTCTCACTGGGGTCAACTCACAAATATCTGGCAGCCCCGGTACTGATTAATAAAAACGCGCGTAAATCATACTAACTTTGTTTCAACCGTATCCTCACTGTGCTGACTTTGCGTTTCTTTTTCATGTGATTTAAAAAAAAATAATTGCTCACCTTCTTATGTGGCTTTCACTTTGAAAAAACCTTTCAACATGCCAAAAGTAAAGTATGAGCAAAAAATTTGGAAAGAGTGGTTGCACGATGACAAAATTAAAAACTGGGGATATGGCCAAAGCTTGTTGTAAGTACTGCAAGTGTGAAATTAAAGCGAAAATACAAAACTCAAAGAGCCATGCAGAGACTAAAAAAGCATAAAACTGCAGTTTCATTTAAAGATATTACACTGCTAACATCTGTTTTCAGAACTATACTGACAAATGAATCATCAAAAGTTGAAGTATCAGTCGCAATGTTTTTAATTTGTCACTGCGCAATTTCAAACTGTGACCAGTTGATCGATTTGTAAAAAATCTTAGACTAGTTCAATTTGAAAAGTGTGGTGTAGAAAGTATAGTTTAGGAACTAAAGGACCTCTTAATCAGCAAACAGTTAGGCTTGAAGAATTTGGCTGTAATTGGTACTGATAATGCCTCAGTGATGGTTGGTATAAACAATGGCGTTTATGCCAAGTTGAAGGAAGCTAACCCATCTTTAATACTTATAAAATGTATGCGTCATTCATTGCAGCTAGCATTATCACATGCTTCATCTAAATATTTACCAAGGAATTTGGAATACCTTATTGCTGAAACACATAACTGGTTTTCCAAATCAATTATCAGACAACAGCAATACAATACATTATACACAGCCTTAAATAATGGTTCCACACCACTGAAAATTCTGTCAGATTGCAAAACTAGATGGTTATCAATTCAACCAGCTGTTGAAAGAACTGTGAACCAATGGTTGGAGTTGAAGACACACTTTGAAATAACAAGACAAAGTGAAAAGTGCTACACAGCTGAAATACTGTATGGAATGTACAGTGATGAAAAAAATTTGTCATTCATTCTTTTTTTATAACCTATTCTAATGGAAGTGCAAAAAGTTAATAAACTGTTCGAATCTAAACTTGCTGATAAAGTTAAATTACTTGATGATCTCACCTTGCTATTTCACTCGGTAAAAGACTGGTGTTTCCAACTTGTAAAGCTGATTTGCTCACTTGCACTATAGAGAGCTATTTGGCTCCTAAGCCACACCTTGGATATTAAATCGAATCAAAAATTGATTATTTAAAAACAAAAGGACTGTTAACAGAGAATGAAGAGAACAACTTAAGAAAACGCTGTCAAGATTTCCTAATCTCATTATTGAAGCAGAGACTTCCTGAAAATCTTTGATGTTTTGAAAAATATTTCACTTTTTTTCCGTGAGCAACATACTTCAGCAAATAAAGGACATACCAAAAATTGTAAAGTTATGAAATTTTTAGGGGCTACTGATAATAGTGTCGCGGAAGCAGAATATCAGTTGACCAAAATAAAGTTTGCTGAATGGACAAACAAAACAGAAACTGAAGCGTTTTGGAGTGAAGTGAGACAATTTAAAGATACCTCATCAAACAGTCCATTCTGTAAGCTCTTTAAAGTGCCATGTCTGCCATGATACTACCCCACTCAAATGCTGACGAAGAAAGAGTTTTTCAGTGCTAGGAATTATTTCAAATCTAACCTAAAAAACAGGATGAAATTTGATCTCTTAAATGCTATCGTGCCATTAAAATTCGGCCTGATGAGACTAGAGAAATAAGCCAACTGTTCCACTTATAAAGAAATTTGAACAGCTAAAGCATACCAGGGTCATTTTGGATCTGAAGCTTCAACTTCCATTATCCAAGCTAAGTTTATCCTGTGGATCTTGTGAGGCAGACATCAGTGAAGGTGAGGACATGATTATGTAGGGTAAGTCATAACAAAAGCTATGTAATTTTTGACTTTTTCAATTTGGATGTTTTTTCTAGATCTTTTCCACGCAGATTTAGATCTTTTTAGAAATTTTTTGACACCGTTTTGGATATTTTTTGTCAAACAAAAGTGGCAACACTGCTGCACAGCCAGTTCTCTGAGCTTCTGTGAATCTTCTGTTTGAATATTGAAGTAGTGGTTTATTCTCGACGATTTAGCAGTTTAGTTAGTAAAGTTACTACATCCATTTCAAAGTGACAAGCAATCATAACATGGATGAATTTAACAAGCCTACAGTTATACATGGTATGTGTATTTATTTTCACTGTCTGTTTCATCATGCGTTTTCAAATAACATTTCCTCCTCCTTCTCCCTTCGCAGTACCAACCAACCTAGTAGACACTTTTTAGTTCTGTACGCATTCTGCCGCCTAAGTCCAGGAACCGATAAATCAGGACAGTAACAAAACAACATGGCTACATAAGAAGCACATGGCTCCATAGACGTGCCGGGGGCGTGTCCGTATTCGCTAAAGAAGCCTCAGAAGGTACTTATTTCCAGCACACAGATCCTGCCGATACACTGAGATACGATACAGTGAAGACGTTCGTAATATTTAAATGTTTTCTTAAGGCTACTTAGATTGTTGCATTAGAACTTACTGGCAAGTTCATGATATTTGTATGTATTCAAAAAATTTAACTATACAAATATATTGTAAAATTAAAACTCACTGGAGGTGGAGCCTAACTACTAACACTAATCGGCTCTCCTTTGAATAACGGTCCCAAATGATCTACGCAGAAAGTAAACCCAAACAGAGCCTCACTCATATCTAAAATTTGCATTTCTTTTGCGGCGATTCAACCGTGCTAAAAGTAGGATTAACTGCGCACCGCATTTTCACGAAATGCAACAGATTTTTTTATGGCGATTACACGGCGGCAAAACTAGGATTAACTACGGATGAAAAAAATTAGCGACACGCGAGAATACTCCCGATAGCGCTATCCTATGGCAGGGCCCCAGTTATATGTAAGTTGCGGGCCACTTTTCGCCGACTATAGTGCCACCTCCGAGGGTATCCCCCGCGCCGCTACGCGCGGAAGGGGCTAAACTAGATGGCTAGGACTCACGAGCAGCAGCTACTGCAGCTCCTGCCGCTTCCTCTAATGCATTAAACCGCGCATTACAGCTGATCATGTCTCGCCCGGAACGAGAATCGCGGACAAACCGTGCTGAGTTGCAATAGCGGACAGCGAGAAAGAACAGATATTCGCGCACTATTTGCAACTTCTGTGCCACAATTTTCAGAAATAAAGGATTTAATTTTCGGTAAGTAGTAGACTTTGCCCTTTTCTTTACACTTTTCGTTCCTTATTTTTTCCGAGCTACACCTTTTAAATGTTTGTAGGGCAGGACGTAATGAGGCTCTGTTTGGGTTCTTTTTCTGCGTAGATCATTTGGGACCGTTATTCAAAGGAGAGCCCACTAATCAACTATTAACTGGCTATAATATAATTTATTTTGTTTAGTGACCCAGCTGTTTTCTATTGCTGAATCCGAAAGAAGGAGAAGGGAGGCAGTGGGAGCTAAAAAGTTTGGTATTTAAAGAATAAAATGATAATAATGGAAAAGAGATAAAGAAAAAGCAACTGAAACTGAAAAAGGCAGATCATAGAGTTTATGTGACAGAATATGAAGGCATGCTGGTGGTTACCTGGCATGACACTAATAGATTTAACCCATATATACTGTTTACTTCAGTGATGTTATGGACAAGTCAGGAACAGTTGAATTCCTGAGAGCAGAATAATAAACAAGCCTGTTCTTGCAAAAAAATACAACAATAGTGGGGTGGGGGGGGTGGAGGGTGATCACTTGAGCCAGCTTGGTGGAAGCTACCCCGACCTACATAGATCCTAAATGGTACTGCAATAATATTATTTGTGTGTGTGTTTAAGTTGAAACGACTCTGATCAATGGGCATATAAACCACAATGAATAAAGCAAAGAGGTTCAGGCAGAATGTCAGTCTTGCTCTTATTCGACCTGCTGTTCTTCGGCACAATGTAACACCTTCAAGGCCACAAGTCACATTATCGTAACTTGAATGCCATTTTATTGAAAAATACTATGTCTAGCCAAGGTACAAATCAGACTACAAAGTGTGTAAGGCTTCATTTTTTTTAATGTGTAGAAACTATTACTAATGGTGCTGTGAAGGTTTCAAAACCCTACTCTTAGTTTTGATTTTTTGAATGAATTTAATTATAAAACCAGTCATTTTGAAAAGAAAAAACCCTTTGTTATGAGAGAAAGTAATTCATTGCATTGCTAGTCAGCAAAATGTTAAAGGTATCTAATGTGCAGGAAAAGAATGGACCTATTTGTGTGGTCATCGAAGTCCCGGACCTGTAGGCTGCTGCCTGTAGATCTCCTGAGGGGGCAGCCCATTCTGAGTGAAAAGCTCAACATTTGGATCTGAGGTTGAGCAGTCCTGTGCAGGACATGACCATTCCTTGGATGAGCCCACAACTACAATAAAACAGTATGCGTCAGCTGAAAGGCACAAATATCGCAGCTAGGCTGCACAACAGGCATATTGCAGTTATGTCACTTGGACGAATGAAAAAAAAAAGATTTCTGACATCAGACATTAAGTCTCTGTTGGATGTTAAGATGCATTTTTTTGTTTTTTAAATTACAGCCGAAGCTTATGGTGCTCTTGATTTGGAAGATTGTAACTCCAGTGTCCAGCCCAAGGTAATAGTTTAAACATTGGCGACTTCATTTGTTAAATTCTGAATATAGTCTGCAACAATGTATTGTCATCACTGTCAGGCTGAGGTTATTTATTAACAGAATGTTTAACCGGGTCAGATGTCTCTTGTACAACCCAGGATCAGGCACATAGCTGAGTGACAGAGGGTTTATAACTGTGTGCAGTAACGAGGTTCACATCTCCTGACTTTTTATTTTTACATTTTTTATTAGAAATCCAACATGTATCAAGTGGAATTACATAAGGTGTCTCTAATGCATCCAAGAATAATACTCATTACCTCATTTTCAGTTTTTGTGGTTTTTATCGTTGGTGCTGTGTGTCATGATGACCAATTGCACATTCAGTGGTGGAGAGAACTAACGCATGGTATAATATTACAAGTAGCCATTGCTCAGAGCGGGTAAGCTACAAGAATTTTGGAAACTAAGTAATCTCCTTTAACGAGGTTCGGGAAGTTACCAGCCGGGTAAGGACACATAGTCAAATGCAGCCACTTTTGCCTTTGATACCTTCAAAGGTTTCCAGAACAGATAGGAAACGGTGGCAGCGGCACTCGATTAAGAAGACCCTTGCAACAGAGTCAGATACAGTATCTTGATGAAGGCACTTATAGAGAAGGGAGTCTGTCCTTGGCTGGGGAATTGGATAGCAGCCGTTTTGTATACCCTCCGCCTGGGTTTTTGGACCTCTGAACCATGTATTATAGCTTCAGGACTACCACAGGGATCTGCAATTTCACCTGTAATATTCAATGTTTTTACGAGCAAGATTGCCTGCCTGGAAACACCTGGAGTTAGCAGAATATTGACATTTGCAGATAATGTTCTTGATAATAGGGAAGATATCAGAGTCAAATAGCTTAAGAGTTACAGGCAACAGTAGATAAGGTGATTGACTGGTGTACAGAGATGAGTGCTGTAATCAACCCAGAAAAGACAACCATCCTGTGGTGTTCTTTGGACAACGAAATTGTTAGAGCTGATGTTCCAGACTCAAAATAAATGTTAGGGACATCAAAAGAGACAGCAGACTGCGGTACCTGGAAATCACCTTTAACAGAAGTTTGTCTTTCAGGAATCACATAGAGGGGGTTGTGACAAGGGCTCAAAAAGGTCTAAATGCACTAAAGATTATGGCAGCGATAGACATGGAGCAGAGAATGCTGTTCAAACTTTACCAGCACCTTATTATCTCAGTGATTGATTATGGATTGGGGTTACTCACTGTCTCGAAGAGTCAGCTAGAGAAATTGGAGCGCATACAGAATGAAGCTATGCAGCTGATCCTGGGTTGTACAAGAGACACCCCGATTGTGTGCATGCAGTACATCCTTTCATTACTGACTATTGCAGATAGGCTGAAGGTGCTGCAGGCTTAGTCATACCTCAGAGTAGCTGCAAACAGGGAACACTTTCTGTATGAAGCTTTGGCTGCAGGCAAGGGTCAGAGGCTGAAAAGGGGAAAATCGTGGATGGCTCAAGCAGAAGACACAATAAGACAAGTATGCATGCTGGAGAACATTGGGTGAGGAGAGGAGTGGGTCAGAGTACCAGCGGAAAAGTCTGACCTGTGTAGGGTTATGATAACACTGGGTCGGGTGTGCAGAGAGTGGCCAGCGGGTGCTACAGAGGTTGAAGTTCAACAGTTGATTCACAACAATTTACGCCCAGGTGATCTGATTATCTATATAGATGGTGATACGTGCGGACCTTCATTGGGACGTGCAGAGCTTCATGCTGATGTGTGTGGTACCAAGATGAAATAGGCCAAGTAGGGGTAAAACAGTAGTTACTTCAATGCTTTCAAAATGTAGAGCTCGAACGCTATGCGTTAAGTTCCAATGGTTGTATTGATATATACAATCAGCAATGATCAACACAAGAATACGTATGCAATCAATAATCAACTCGTTCAACCAAAGCTCACTCGTACATCCATGGATGGATATGTCCTTACGATAGGTCGCAGTCCGACCTTGAGATCATGACAATCATCTTGGTCCTCGGACAAGTCCGAATTAAGCAATGAAAGTATACCGGCTTGCTGCCGAGAATGTAGTGCTCACCAGCTTCCTGCTGAGGTCTTGGAGTCCCGGGGTAAAACGTCCTCAAGGATCCAACTTTAATAACGTTTGCTTCCGTGGGATCCCGGGGTAAAGCGTCCTCAAGGATTCCCACGTCCGTCTCCTTCGGACTATAAACATCAACTGCTTTGACAACAATAAATCATAACAACGTTACGTATTGTTTTGACGTCTTATTTGCTCACTCCGTACTGGTGCGTTCTGGTGCACATTCGCACGCGACAGCTTTTCCCCCCTCCCCAGGACGACCGAGCACTAGGGCTTGTCGTAGTCTCGGTCGGAAAACTGGAGTCATGTCGCGGCAAACAGCACCAGTACGAGAGAGCAAATAAGAACACTTGAATACACACACACTCACTCCTCAATATATCGTCAATACATTACTAAATGCATGCAAAATATAGATTCCTGACTTCACTAAGCATTATTATCAA